CAGTGAGTGTTATTTTGTGATAATAAATGAGTGTTAAAGTTTTTTTATATGAAATAACTACTTTTCTGCACGTTTCGTTTATGTAGAATAATACAGTAATATAGCGTGTTAACTTATCTACCTATACATGAATGGCATTATTGTGATATTATTTTACCACCGTGATCGATTATTATTGTACTGTGTACTGTTGTATAGTGGTTAGAGCGCGGGACTTCGGTGTCCGAGGTCCCGGGTTCAAATCATGCGAAGTCACCAATGGATTTGATCTAAGTGATGATACCGCAACCCCTAGGTCTAGCCTGAAGTAATGTGAAAAACAATCCCGGCTCGTGCCTAGCGTCCTAGGGGAAATAAAGTGGTCTACAGTGGCATTTAGTGTTTATCAATTATTACCATACCATTATAAAATATGATGGGACTGTAAGTGGATGTAGCCTATTTAACCTGAGCTTGAATAATAAATTGGATTAAAATTGTGTAAAGTTCCTTGTGTGCCTTTAATCATCAAGAAGCTACTAATTTTAAAAGATAAATCTAGTGACCTATTGGTAATAATCTAAGAGATTTTAGCATAAAATAAGAAAAATATATTTAATGGCTAATAATTCTTGCATTGCTGGTGACATGATTAACTTAATATTTAAAGTTCAGAATATTTGCATACCCATAATAAGCAGCCCCTTTTCTCAGTAAGAAAAATACCTTAAACTTTAAATGAGCAATTTAAATCATTTTAAATCAGAAAGTAAATAAATTACTTAATAATCTATAAAATGTCCAAGGATACTTATGGTAAATAATATCATTTACATCAAAATATGCCTTCTGTTTAGTTTCTCCTTTTGTCATGCTTTGAACTGGTTTTAGATCAAGATAGAAGCAATGCAATTGAGGGTTAAGAAAGAGATTCAGTTACGTGTTGAGATAAACTTTAGCTTGCTCTAGTTTTAATTAAAAACGATCCATCATTTTAAAAACCACTTTTACTCGTTCAATTTACTGTACAGTTTTATGGGAAGCAAATATATCCTAACACCAATATTGTCATAACGGAAAACTTTGACATCTGCATTTTTAAATAAACGTTTAAATTAAATCTTGTGAAAATCCAATGGTTCAATATACTACTAAACAAAGTTCATATTTTATGATATTAAATTGTTATTAATTAATTAATAAACTGTTTCCTTATACAATGTATTACATTTATTAGATTCTGTTTGGCTCTTTGATAGTTGATAATAAAAAAATTGCGACTTCATGTTTCAACTATATCCTTTAACCAATGTAAAAATTATAACATTAGTAGTGACAACGTTTTTCATACTTATTCAATAATTCTCATTAGCTAGAAAATATTATCAGATTAATGTTGGAATATTTATAAAATGTAACAATAATTTGTAATAAATTTCTAAAACTATTATTACTGCATACTTCTTGCATTATTACTGTCATATTTCTTGTATTGCATATTTTTACGCAATAGTAAGAGATGTTTATATAAATTAAATACAAGTAGTATTGTATAAAAACCCCGTCTGAGTTGAGTTCATCTAGGCTAACAAATGGAAGTTGTAAAGGTAAGAAACTATAAAATTCGTATGCTAGATATCTAAAAAGGTTTAGTAAAATACTGTTAATATATACAGTTCCAAAATATTGAATAATATTAAATAAATATACATTAAAAGATAAATCCTTAGTAAAATAAATTCGTGCAAATCAATTCAGCAAAGAAAGAGGCAAGCAGTTCTTGCGGTAGTTTGTCTCCGTTTCTTTTTCAATGGTGACAGTTTTTCTCTGTCAGGAAATATTTATTATACCTATTTCGGTGACTACTAGCTCAATAGGAATGTTCCTATGGTTCAAATCGTTTATTAAAATAACATAAGCCTTACCTTGATGAGTCCCTAAGCAAATATAAATGGAAAATCTCGTTCTAAAAACATATCATTTTACATAAAAGATGAAAAAAACATAATATTGAGTCTGGAAAGGCCTGTTCAAAGACTAGAAAGGAAAATCCTTTAAACATTTTTATTTATAAATCAATTAATTTATAAATTACAGTTTTTTTTACACAAAACACTATTTGTATTGCAGATATACTTATACTCAATAACCCGTCTGTACTAAGTTAAAGATTTATCAAGTCGATTTATAAATACAATTACACTACTAAAAATGTAGTTGTTATAAAATTGTACTTTAATAAATGCTAAGGTAAACTAAAATGTTTATTCCTTAAAAAAGTGAGATAATTATCAACGGTTTTGTTAAATAATTCAGTACTAAGACACTTTCATAATCAAATAAAGGTTTGTTAAAATAATACTGCATTGCCATTCAAAATCATATTTTAATACCTATTCCAAATGAGTATTCTTGTAGGGATAGCTAAAAAATGTAGAATGTAGTTCTAACTAAATGTAGAATTTAACCTATGTTCTGGCAGTAAACGTACTGAAATCAGATTGATATTGTTGGTTAATCTTGGTTTTGCTGACGATGATGTCGCTCCCTAATTGAAGGATCAACTCCCTCCAAAGATGGGGGAACGAAACTCAGAGTTCAAGCTGTATGGGATCTGCTAGCAAAGTGATATATCTGCTCTGCAAAAATTTAATAAATTCTTTGTTCGTAATTCCTTTTTTTTGGTGAACTTGGGTTAATAATATTTATGTGATTATTACTGAGGTGTTTCATTACTAAGAATGTGTTATATTCCCCTTAAAATTCTTATCTGGTTCTATAAATAGAGATTTTTTTTATTTCCTGGGGAAAAAATAATTTTTACTTGTGCAAAAATTATATGAATAAAATTGATTAGTAACGTGTAGTTCATGCAAATGAATTCACGAACCAGCATGATCGGATTATGGAAAAACGGGTTTACTGGGGTTTTATGGGGTAAAAATTTTTTTTGTATTTTTTCCAGTAAGTTTTATTATTATAGTATATTTAAATTATGGAGTCACAAACTCTTTTAAGGTACTAGTTTCAAACTAATCATATCTGCTTAGTTATGCCGGGGATTTATCCCCACTCTTATAAACCAATATCCGTGACACTAACCAATAGGTTATTGGCATTAGCTCATCCTTTTGTATTTTATTTTAAACTTACAGGTTTTCCTGATGTTACCTGTTTTTTTCCCTGATCATTGTTTTAAGTAGTTTCACTTACTGCAATAGCAAAATTACAATTTACACTTACAACTTCTATTTATTATGTTCCTTTTCCAAACAACCTAAACAAGCTTATAGCATTTTAGGACATTTTTGAGTGTTCCTTTTTAACGTAAGTTCTATTGTTGTCTGGAGTACACGTGTCAACATAGTTTTAATTAAAAAAAAAGAGAAACAAAATAGTACGAAAGACCGTGTTCATTAAACAAACAAAAAATATACGTATCAATGAATACTTAAAATGGAGAATTATATAGGCAAATTAGCCAATAAAAAAATTACACTCGCTCTCTTATGTAGACACAAAACAATCAGATAGAAGTTTTAAATACGGTAAAAGGTCGAGAATAAGCCAATTTAATATGCAAATATTGGAAGCGAGTCACATCCCAGTAAACCAAATTCACTGTAAACTTGTGGTGTTAGTTTATTAGAATTCTGTGAATATTAGGTTGTGGTAGCTGAAGGGAGTTTATTAAAATCGTAAACAGATAAAGAGTGGGTTTTCGATATATTTGGGGATTATCTTTATATTAAATATTCCTCTTTCCTAACCTTTGTTTAACAAGTAAATATTTCGTAAATCATTTCATTATTTTAAATTTCTAGATATTTTACTCAGGTTTTTAAAATGATCCTTTAAGAGTCTTGAATGTAATGAGTCCTAATTATTTGGTTTTATTACATTTGTTTAACATGTTTAATAGTTTAGCGTTTAGTATAATGAATAAAGCGATCTTTTGCATTATAGACATAGTTTGTAAATCACTGTAAATAAATTTATCTGGGTTTAAAGTCCATGTATACACCTCACAAAATGAAGTTTATACATTAATTTCTTTAATTTCTATTTCACAATTTTTTTAGTAATGTTCATTACTGATTATGGGACTTGTGTATTGATCTTAAGCTTGTTATAATTTAGGATATTTTTCAATAAATCAAGATTTGTTATTTAATAAAAATATTTTCATTAGTTCTGGTTTATGTGGATGTACTATATTTCAACAATTAAGTTAATTCTTTCTTTTTGTATACATTTTTTTTTAATAGTTATAAGGACATATCAAGTAGCAGTGTTATTGTTTTACTTTATCCTCAAATAAAAGGTTGTCAAAGTCTCACCACACCTTACTGTACCACTAAAGACTATACCACCATATACCACCATATATTTCATTTGTCCCTTAGGTCCGAACACCAATGGATTTTATGTAAATAACACTAAAACACTCTAGGCCTCGATTGAAATATTGTGCAAAACTATTTCTGTTTAGAGGTTAGTTTTCAAAGATGGAGGACATAAAAACCTAGACATTTGTGTGGGGTACAAACTGGTTTTAGTAGTAAAGCGTGAGAATTCAGTCCTGGGTTCAAATCATGTTCGAATAATCTAATTTATCATAAAGATGATACCACAAACATCTAGGCCTTAATATGAGTAAACATGCTTCGAGCTATGAGGATGTTAAATCAGAACATAAAAGAAGTTTATGAATTTCTTAGGCAAAACCGTAAGAACAAAATAAATATACTTTTAACAATTTAACATAAGATTTTCATTTATCATTTTTTTTTATTTTATGCTATGTTTATAAAGTAATTTAATCCTATTAAATGTATATTTGAATGTAAAAATGGTGTTACCGTTGAAAGAATAAATAAATAAATATCTTGTCTCTATACAAGTAGTTAATATTTCCTCTAACTAGAGGTAACATCAGGGTATGTTAACAATAAAAGTGATCTAGCGCGTAGACTGCGATCTTGTGTGTTGCAGTGGCCGCGAACCGGTGCGGCGACCTTGTGTAGTCAGTGGGTTAGTGGGTCCGTTGTGTAATGTCAAGTGCAGCTGCAATGCGGTTATTAGTCCAAGGTGTGTGCAAGGTAACCGAAAACTGCAATTCGGGTTATGGCCGGTGAGTGGAGCCGATAGTATAAAGACTAAGTACTCCAAACTTAACATCAGTTTGAAACATGATCTTCAACGTCTTGTTTGAGTTCGAGTCCATCGCTGAGGGGAGGGAAGCTCTGGCGAAGCTTCGACGCCACTTCGATGTTGTACCTTCAAAGACGTACGAAGTGGTAGAAGACGTCACCAGCTATTCACCAGGTAAATAAGGTAGTGGAATAATAACAAATGTCTGTTAATATGTGTCTATATTTTCTCATTGAAATATTACAACATTTGGAGAGCGGTTGGTGACGCCGGTACATTTAACTTTGTATGTCCCGTTAGCCAGCGTATCTACATCCGATTGGGACAAAGTTTGTCCGAACCGTTTTGGTAGAAACACCATCCTCACTATGTTGTCCACTAATACCTCTAGAATAACGCTAATCCCGTACTGTGCGTGGCTGTGTAATCGTGCCGCTGTAATTGTGTAGCCAGCAGGGTTGGTAAGTTCGGTCATTGCGATTCTAGAGGGTCCCTCGACAACCTCCAGCTTGTTCAGTTTTGAACGGAGATCAGCAGACATGGTTCTGAAACATATAATCCTGTTAGTGCTGCGATCGTGTCATTTGCCGCTGTTTTGTGTTTGGAGACCGGGGTTTATTTATCTAGTACGCTAAATTGTGATTTCACCACACTATGTTTTTGGCTGTATTACATACGGGCTGAAAGTTACGTTTTGCTAGCCAGCTGTCATCGTAATTTGGGGACCAAGCAGGTTTTTATAGGGTGGCAAAATCAGCTGTCCTCTTACTTAAAACATGAATTCATTTTATACAATCAAAATCCATAGCATTGCAATAGAATTGTGTTATTATCACCGTTGCCTAGTAACAATTTTTATTTTTGCTGATTCCTGAAATTATTTCTTAACATAACAAGTTGTAGTTGTGTTGACTATAGTCGTGAAAAGTGGTAATAGGGTGTGGTGAAAAATAGCGTTCGTACCACGGACCGAAATGGTTTTGTAGCACTCGATCGATTTCCCGACTTCGTCTCAAACTTAAAAATATCTCGAGCTGGTAAAACCTAATTTTTGGCGCTAGCTATGAAATATACTATTGTAGTATTGTCCGAATAACACTTGAGCAGTTGAAGATTAACAAACGTAGTCAAAGTAAATATGAGAAAATAACAACCTTCCTTCCCGACTTCGTCTCAAACTTAAAAATATCTCGAGCTGGTAAAACCTAATTTTTGGCCCTAGCTATGAAATATACTATTGTAGTATTGTCCGAATAACACTTGAGCAGTTGAAGATTAACAAACGTAGTGAAAGTAAATATGAGAAAATAACAACCTTCCTAAGAAACCAATACAGCCTACGATCCATCACTACGGTAAACTTGCTAGACGAATGACAGTAATAATAAATCTGATCAAGGCGTAACTACTATTTTTCCACCAACTGTCAAAACTCCAGCCAAAACCACAAAGTATTTGATGTTAAAAATACAACTAGGCAGTGAACGGTAATATTCTTTGTAAACCAGATAAACTATTTTGTCAATGTTATAGTTAAAACTCATACAACATTTGTAAACCAAGACACACCAATATCCACAGTAAAACGCTGATTTGACAAACTGTACTCTAAACTAAACAATCTGTTACAGCTGGAAGAATGGCGGCGGCTATGCGCCACGAATCACTGGTTCGATACCGTGGGGGAAAGAGACCGACAGAGGGACAGGGCCCGCCTGTAAAAAAACAATGTTTGACGCTCTGCTCCATACTCAATTCCCCCCCGCTGCAGCCACGCCCAGACACGTCCGAGCCGTCAACCTCTACAGCACCACCACAAGACATACGACCTGCACCATCATCACCGATCATCATATCTGATGATGATGATGATGATGATGATGATAATGAACTGCCAGAGGAGTTGGATCAAATGATATCAACACTTTCATCGTCGGGGTACAGCTCATTGGATGATAATGAGATAATCGATTTATTCAAATAAACATAAATGTACTGCTGTTTACTGTTATTGTTACTTTTACAACCCAAAAGTAGTGTAGTGTAACTAGAAACCAGAAAACAAGAGGTCTGTAAACCAAATAAAGTTTAGCATGCATCATAAAATGGTCAAACTCACAAAACCCGTATACGCTTCAGCTTTTGTTTATAAAAAACGTATGTATACACAAAACCACGCTAAAACCTACAAATAAAACCGAGCCGCGCAGTAAACATGATAAAAACTGTAGGCAGTAATTGGAAAAATGCCTCTTACAACTGCCAGCACAGTTTGCAAAAGACTGTGGCAGTTCATAAACAACTATCGTTAATTCTTACGAAAACCTTTTTTAAAAAATAGAGCTGAAATAAAGTAGTAATTAGTAATCAAGAGAGACAAACAACTGCTACTCACCAGCGTGTGGAAGGTTCGTTGAGTACGAGTACCAAGAGTAGAATGAGTACTCCAGTAATCCTCAACGTGTTTATATGCACACTTCGAGGTCTAGGAAGTTGATCCACTAATAGGTCGAGGACACAAAAGGGGGTTGAGGACAACCCTTAAAATGGGTCAATGACAATGTAAGATTCAGGTTAAGGACGACCATGTGTAAAGGGTACACCCCCGACATAAATACCCTCAGCACTCTGTGATCAGCACTCATTCGCTCAGTGCTCAGAGTAGTAGTAACATCTGTGTGCTCGGTGTTTGTGTGTGTGACTCGGTGTGTTAAATGTTCTTTTATGATGGAGTTTATAGAATGTTCCATTTGTCATGAAGCATATTTTATATCAGTGAAAGCGTTGGCGAGACACCAGCAAATGTGTCTTGCTACTAAAGTGTATTCAAAAAAAATCAGCAAGGGTAGGAAACATACTCTATCTACATCGTCTTCTGATGAGGACGTTGCTCATCCGTCTTCTAGAGGAAAGAAGCTACGGAACAGCAGCCCACCACTTGCTGAGAGATTCGAGGAGTCTGCAGCTGTGCCTCCAACCTCTCGACTACAAACTCCAGAAACGTCAACAAACGTCCAACTACATACGACTCGACAGAGCGCCACCACATCACAGCAGTCTGGAACACCACCTCGATTAAAATGGTACATGAAAAGAGGTCTACTAAGATGTCGGGATTTTATCATTGACAATCCCAACGCTTACTACCGTGACACGAAAGCGTTCCTGAGTGTTGCACTTCCAGTTGCTGAGAAACTGCTTCGAGAAGAGTTTAAAACATCGCCCAGTCTCAAATACAACATGGTGGTGTTGTCAGTCTTCAACCATCAACATGAAGGAACGCAAGAAGAATTCAACTTCAAAACATCTACCAGGACAGTCTACGGCGGCAGCGATGATCTCCAAGACATTCTCGCCCAAGACGGTGCCAAGCTACTCACTGAGGAGTCTGAATTCGAAGGAAGGGGTCTGGATGGACACTGGACCATCCGTCAACGCTAACGCTTAGAGTAAGTAGGTTTACTTTTAAGAAACCCACTGGGAAAGCATACACAGTACTGCCAAAACGTATAACACAAAGGAAAGCCACAATCAATGTTCGTAATACAGACTCTAAATGTTTTAAATATAGTGTACTAGTGAAACACCTCCCGAACGTAGATGTTAATTCAGTCTTGACTGAAGAATCGTTCGTTGACTATGAGCACGTATACAACTTTGAGGGAATAAAATTTCCTGTGACAGTGTCGTCAATCGCAAAGTTTGAATTGAATAATCCCAATACCTCGGTAAATGTTTTCGAAACAGCTCCAGGCTGTGATATAACACCACTACGGGTAGTTGATGAGAAACAGGACCACATAGATTTATTATTGTATCGCGAGTCAAGCCGAAAACGCTCACTATGTTTATATATCTAATTTTTCCAAACTGATACGTCCACAAGTGGCTGCCGGACACAATCAGATCGTAATTTGCAAACGGTGTTCGACGCACCGTGAGGTTCGAAATGTAAACCGGATCCAAAGTCATGGCTCGAAGAGCACCTACGACTTTGTAAAAAATTTAAACTCGCAAACACTCGCCTACCAAAGGAAGGTGAAAACCTATTAAAATACGAGGAGTTTGAAAATCAAATCCCGGTGCCGGTCATTGTTATTGCCGACTTTGAAGCTACTCTTGTACCAATAGTAGGCTCTGATCGTTCATTCGAATGTCACGAACCCAATTCCTATGCTACCTTAGTAAAGTCAACACTACCTGACGAGAAATTGCACGAAGTAGGAATCAGTACGGAGCCGCAGGTACACCGTAGTCCCAATGCTGCTCAGTCGTTTATGTTTCATATGCAACAAATTGCAGCGAGTGTCGAACAACTTTATACGCGTTTCGAACCGGTCAAACCACTAACAGCTCAAGAGACGGAGCGCTTCGAATCAACCATGGCTTGCGAGCTGTGTGATCGTGCCTTCAATGACAGCACCTGTGTCAGGGTCTTAGACCACTGTCATATATCGGGTAACATGAGACACGTGATCTGTAGTAAATGCAATTTACGTAGCTCTACCATAAACTACATCCCGGTGTATTGTCACAACATGTCGAATTACGATGGTAATTTTATCATAAAAAGCTTATCATCAGTCCCAGACTGTGAAGTAAAGGTTATCCCTTGTACAAACGATAAGTACATATCGATATCAGTCCGAGTGGGTCGTATGTGGCTGCGCTTTCTTGATTCCTTTAGACTGATGTCTTTGAGTCTGGCAAAACTGGCCGACACCTTGTCAGAAAATGAACTCGTAGAATCGTCGAAACTCGTACCCACTGAACATTTAAATCTCATCCGACGTAAAGGGGTTTATCCTTATAGTTATGTAACGTCAGCAAAAGTATTTGATGAAACAAGCTTACCAAACCGTGATGCATTTTATGACAAACTCAATAACGAACCGTGTTCGGTGGAAGATTACACATTTGCGATGGAAGTTTGGGAAAAATTAAAAATGGAAACCTTTGGAGATTTCCATGATTTTTACTTGAAACTTGACGTCTGCCTTCTTGCAGACGTTCTGACATCATTTAGGAAAACGTGTTTGGAAGCGTACAAGATCGACTGTTGTCATATGTACACCGCACCTGGACTTGCTTACAAAGCGATGCTGCGTATGACACGTGTAACCCTTGAGTTACTTACCGATCCTGATATGTTACTGATGATTGAAAGTGGCATACGAGGTGGGTTAGTCCAATGTGTGACCCGCTATGCCAAAGCAAACAACCCTCATTTAATCAATACCGCTGACTACGATCCCAATGAAAAGCAGAGCTGGCTTCTTATGCTTGATGCCATAAACTTATATGGCGCATCCCAAAGCAAATACCTTCCAACTGGACACTTTCAGTTTGTAGAGTCACCCGAAAACCTAGACTGGTCCAGTGTCCCTTCGGATAATCCAACCGGATACATACTAGAGTGTGATCTTAAAGTCCCTGATAATGTTCACGATCGTTTGCAGTACCTTCCGCCATTGCCTGAGCTAGAAGCACCCCCGGGAAGTAAGGACAAAAAGCTGCTTGCGACACTAAAAGATAAAACGAAATATGTAGCTCATTATTCTGTGTTTCAACAGGCCGTTAAACTGGGATTGATTGTAACAAAGGTCCACAGAGCAATCTCGTTTTCACAATCACCCTTTATGAAAAAGTTTGTAGACTTTAACGCGGAAATGAGAGCCAAGTCAACAAACGAGTTCTACAAAAGCATATTCAAATTGATGAATAATGCGAACTACGGAAGGTTGCTTATGAACAAGCGTAACCACCGCGACGTCAGAATTGTAACTAAAGACAGTACATTGCAAAAGCTTATTCGGAACCCTCAATTCGTGGAACATGTTATAATCGACCAAAACATCGTACTTGTGTACATGCAAAGAAAAACGGTGATCCTCAACGCTCCTATCTATGCGGGAATGTGTGTGCTTGACTTGTCCAAAGTACACATGTATCAGTTCTACTACGACGTACTTTGTAACCACTTTACAGACAAAGAGTTAAGGCTGCAGTACACAGACACAGATAGTTATCTGCTGCACTTGACCACTGATCGCGATCTTTTCCAAGTATTAAAACAGCCCACACTTGCTGCATATCTGGATATGTCAGTATATCCTGTAGGACATCCGCTCAAAGACGACACAAACAAAGGTAAAATCGGTTGTTTCAAAGACGAATCGCGTTTAGGAAAACAAATTCAAGAGTACGTCGGTCTACGTTCTAAAATGTACATTTATCGCTATGGGTCGGATGAAAGTGAAATAGAGTTCACTTCTAAAAAAGCAAAGGGTATAAAATCATCCTACGTGAAACGTTACCTATCGTTTGAAGACTATAAAAGAACATTGTTCGAAGGATTTGAACCGGAAAAAGCCGAATTCAATCTAATCCAAAGCCGGCTATTCAGGATTACAACGAAAACAGTTGTTAAACGATCTCTGTCCGCTTCAGACAACAAGAGAGTAATTACTAATGACCGAATCAACACGCTTCCCTACGGGCATTATAAACTTAGGACGATCGCGGAAGAACCTACTGCTGAGGAGGACAGCAATGAAAACAACGACAATGACTTTATATGATTTAACTCTTACGTCGACTTGTCTAGCCATAGATAGTATAAATAATATAGATAGTCTCGATGAATTAGAAATACTATCGATCCTGCCAAACTCAATAAAACGCGATGTTTGTAAGAGACTCAAACACATTTGGATGTCCCACAGGTATTGTCTTCCATTTAGTCGCAGTCAATTTCAATACCGATACTTGAATTTCAACCAACTAGACAAGTATGAATTTCTTATGTTGACTCATCATCACAGTAGGGTTCACCCTGAGTTTTGGCCATCGTATTCAGATAAAGGCCATGTATTTTTTGAATACTACGAGCATATTATAGGTAACACTAGTACGTACCGTTTATGTAAAAGGTGTTTTATAAAAACGTGTGAACCCTCCGATCCACTTGACGATTATGAAGAA